CACGGTGTGCAAATTAGGAGGAACCCGGATACCTCTCTTAATATGCGCAAATAAACAAAAAAATTAAAGTGTATTTAAAGACTTTTCAGTAAAATTCATAAGAATTTCCTTAAATAAATCAAATTTAGTTTTTAAACAGTGTATTTTAACCTACATCGAGATCTTTCTTTTTAAATTAACAAATTAAAATATATAAAATGAAAGGGATTACAACAGAAAGAGTATATATTTACTTTATATATATATTAAGATCTTGCTGAAGGCATCCTTTTTAGCTAATTAAAACAATTGCAATTATACCTATTTTGGAGAGATCTCTTCATATGTATGTTCATTGCTTCGTTCACAATAAAATGCTTTTAGTTTCACGCTTAAGTAGTGCTTTTTAATACATTTAGAAAACGTAATGCTTTCTACCATCTTTAATTAAAATCGATTTTTGAACGAAAAAAAATGTACAGAAACAATAAAATTTTGGCCTATTTAAAAAAGTATCCACATTTATACTGATCGGAAAAAAGAAGTATCTCGCAAAAATTCGTCTAAAAATGTCTCCAATTGGATCTATTATTATCTATTATATATAGGTGTCTCAAAATATACATAAGTACTAAATTTTATAAAAATCCATGCAAACGGAATTCGTTAAATGAGGTTGTCCCTCTAGATTATCGTTTCGGACCACTGTGAGCCGAGTGTTAAATGTTGTTCATACTTACTATGTATTTACAGCAATTTACACGAGATAGCAGAATCAATAGCTTTTGTTTTATTTATAGCTAAGTTGCGTTTCGTTAAATTTAAAAGTGGAGAAACCGAGTAAATATTTATGTGTGCATATCTCCTAATATATAAAATATATCGTGTCACTGTGTTTTTGAACTCCTCCGAAACGGCTTGACCGATTTGCATGAAATTGCATATCTCAGGTGGTGTTTGTTGCAAAGGACTGGAACTTGGCACCGAGATGTGTATACAAAATTAATTCCATACTAATGGAGAGCAATTAGGGTTATTCGAAAGGGTGCGTGGTACCTGCCGTAGAAATGTACTATTTTAAACTGCATATCTATAGAGATGTTTATGTTAGAGCACTGAGAGTGTTGGTATATATAAAATCAATTCCTTTTTCGTGGAAGAAAATTACGGTTGTAATAAAAGGGTACGTAGCACTTCTCGTACAAATTGAATTTTTCTTGCCTTATATCCCTGGAAGTGTTTGTCGAAGAGTAGTGGAACTTGATATGGAGTTATGTATATAAAATGTATGCATTGCTCATGAAAAAATGAGAGTTATTGGAAAAGGAGGCATAGGAGGCGACATACACACTAAAACTTACATAATACTTATCTCTGGAAGGATAGACAATCTCTGGAAATACTTTAAATTTGTTATGGGGATTTATTTTATCGGAACCGTACTAACAGACAAAATGTGGGGTGAAACTTTAGTTTAAAGAGCAGCATTTAAGTTTTCTTTTTATGCTCTTCAGAAAATTTCTCTTTCTATCGTTATTCTGTTTTGAAAACTAGAGGCAATTGAATAATTTACAAATTTCGGTAGCTGCTGGTATCAATAGTTAGTGTAGCCGAAATATATGTCGTATGCTCGTATATATGTACATATAACCATTTCAACATGTCGATGTATCTAGATATTTTATTACTTCAATGCTGCAATCTCTTGCTAGCGGAAAATTTCCCACGGCCATCTGGGATTATTGCTAAAAATACACAGCAAACGTTTATCCCCTAAAATTAGCAACAGCCAAAAGTATGTAAATATACGTAGTTTATTTTTAAGCAAACTTCGCTTAAGCAACTGTCGAAATGTTTAAGTAGTTAAGGTTTTGCACGTTCGCATGTAAATACACGTACATATAAACATACATATGTTGTCGTTAAATTGGCGATTTGTAAACTTGCGTACATGACTTTAAATTGCCGTTGATGACGTTTAACATGGAAAAGCATAAACTTACTTAAAGACATGCAATGTTTATATGAAATTGAATACAATTGCATGTTTACATATACATATATGTATATGTATGTACATGCATAAAATATATAAATATTAGAATGGTTTTAAATATGTTCATTAGGGTAGTTCTTAAAATATCAACCTGTAACAAATAAAAACTTCCACGAAAATTTCGCAAAAATTTTACAAATATTTACTTGAAATCTGATAGATTTGGCATATTATTGAAATATTTTTATATAAATTAAGATATCTTAACGTATGTATGTAGAAAAGGGTGGTCCCAAAATACATGCGGGAAAAAAGATTTAAATGTTAAGCTCTCACCCCCTGGGATTCTACTGACTCTGCTGCTTTTTAGGAGACTTCAAGTATCTATACCCAATTGTTTATTTAACCATTTTTAATATTAACTAATTTATATAGGTTCGCAAAAACCCATAAAAATGAAATGGAGGGACTCATAAGAAATCGTTGGTATTAAAAAATGGTAAAATAAACAATTGGGTATTATTTTTGGAAGTTTTCTGAAGAGAAACAGAGTTATCCGATCGAAAAATATAGATTTTCAAGAATTCTACACCATTTCATTATGAAAAAGTATTTTTCCCCCATATAAAATTTATTTGAAAAACTTTGAGGCAGTTATAAATAGCCGTCTTCGATTCGTCACTTCTCGCTCGCTATGTTTGAGTTCCGGTCGCTTAAAGAAGAATTTTTTATGTGAAAGCAACAACAAAGTTAGCTAGCACGGATAGACGATAGCGAGTTTGGTTGTACCTCATTGAGTTCGTTCGTTTCGCCACTCGTTAACCGTTGGCGAATCGATGACGGCTAATATTAATTTTAAAACAGCTAAAACAGGTACTCTTTTTTCCATTTAAAAAATCCTTGGGGCTGAGAGTTTTACGTTTTAAACTTTTTTTTTAACCACCCTAATGTAACCACCCTTTACAGCATATGTGTACAGTCCAGTAATTTCTTTGACTATTGATTTGCACAGTAGGTCAACTAACCCATTTTCTGTGCGAAAGTAAAATTTCGAAAATGATGAAATGAATAATTTTTTAACGTTGTCATGTTGGAAATACTCTAAGCCCCGGGAAGTTAACTTTAGTGTTTCTAAATGTAATACACAAGCTCGTTATACTCGGCAAAAGTCGATTCGACGAATTCAGTTCAATTTTTTTTTATTTTTAGTATATATTATAAATTATCTTAAGTTTGTTTAAAATTTCGCTTTTGCGTGTTACGAGTAAAGAAACTTTTTCGAAAGAGTTAATGTTAGAAAATAGCAATTTGTTTGAAATTAGTCAGTAAGAAAGAATAAGAGAAACAAAAATGAACGCATTTTTCAGACAGGTAGATGACTAGGCAGTACAGTAAATTTACGTATGTTTGTATTATAGGAAAGCTAGTGCCCTATACGCTTGTCGAATGGCTGTTGGTTAAATTTTGAAGTCCACTTTAATTTCGCATAGAAAATTATCATTTTACACAGTCAAATTAATTGCGCGTACATAATTGCTTTAGCATATATATGTACATTAGACTGCATCACTCCCCATCCAAAAAAAAAATCGGTACTATTTTTCCATTGGAATTATAAAATTTATTATATTTTAAGACGTCCACTAAAATATTTCGGAAAAATATTAAGATTTAAGTGAGCTGGACCGATTTGAAAATACCTCCAAAAATGGAGTTTTTTATGAATAAATTTAGTTTGTTAAAATTTTTTTTTTTTTAAATCCCCTCATATGACAAAACGGTTTAAGCTTAAAAAGTTTGCATAAAAATATTTAAAAAAAGTTAAAAAAAAATTGAACGGAATCGCAATGATGAGATTTTTGATGCTGTTTTTTAACTTTTTTCAAAGATTGGCATAAGAAAAACTGAGCCTAAACTCTTCTGATTTAGACTTAAGAGGTGTCATTGGAAAGGTATTTTCTCACCCTATTTTCTTTTCTATTTATTTGCTAATAAACTCATTCAAAGGATGAAAGAGAAAGGTAGGATGAGCGAACGTCATTCAAAGTTGAATTAAGATGTGTTGGTATTTGAAAAAAAAAATTGGGACTCGAATGATTTTTTTTGGACAGAAATAAAATCAGTGTGAAAATACCTTTATACTGAGATCCCATAAGTCTAAATCAGTATAGTTTTGGCCCAGTTATTCAAGTTTTTCGTAAATCAATCTTTGAAAAAAGTAAAAAAACAGCATCAAAAATCTCATTCTTACGATTCCGTTGAAAAGATTTTTAAATATTTTTATGCAGATTTTTTAAGCTTATTCTAATTTGTCATCTGAGGGGACATTTTTCAAAAAGTTCTTTAAGAAACTATTTTTATTCATAAAAAACTTCATTTGTGGAGGTAATTTTAAATCGGTCCAGCTCGCTTAAATCTTAATATTTTTCCGAAATATTTTAGTGGACGTCTTAAAATATAATACATTTTGTAATCCCGACGGAAAAACCGCAACTTTTTTTGGTGATGCAGTCTAATGTACATATGTATGTACGAGGGACTAATGAAAGATCGCCTAGTTGGCGAACTTTAAATCTTAAAGAAAAAAACCAAATCATTTGCAATAGTTTTACGAGACTTCTTTCTAAATTTTAGAATGATCAATTCAAATGGAGACGAGAACACGAAAAACATCTGAGGATAGATTATTTTCGGGTTTTGGCGTAAAGTACAGGCACTACAAATATTCAGTGAATAACAAATTGCATACGAAACGTTTCCACAGTCTGTATAGACTATTTACAAGTGGTTCCGAAGATTTCACACGGGACTTTTTCTGTAGAGGACGAGCCCCGAGAAGATCCCCCCCAAAATCTTCCTCTGATGACGTTAATGTGGCTCTGGTGAAGTACAACGTTGACGAAGATCTACTATTGATTCAACAAATGATAGCTGATGAATTGTGCTTGAATGCAATGGCTATATTGTCGATATTAGGAGACATCTGGGACGCACGAATAAGCTCGATGGGTTCCACGAATTTCAAATGAGGCCCGCCCTAAAAGAGGCTCACGTGCATTTAGCTCAAATTTTCCCAAATAAATTCGAAAATGGGCAGTCTAGCAACTTTAGTAAAGTCAATACTGGTGAAGAATCTGGGTTCTATAAGTACGATCCGGAAACCAAACAGCAGTCCATGATATGGAGCCCAAAAGGGAAAAACCTATCCGTAAAAGCTAAGCAACAAAAATCAGCAACAAAAGTAATGATGTCGGTTTACTTCACCCGATCAAAAAGCGTAGCTGCTATTCCCCTGGAAAAGGGTCAAACGGTAACTGTAAGTGTAACTGTAGAAACTTGGTACGAAAGGTATTTAACAGCAACGCGGAGATAATTTATGCGGTTAATGCTGAACTTGATAAGCAGAAGACTGTTTTGAGAAATGCATCCATAGGCTTAAGAAATGCATTGAAATCAATGACGATTATGTAGAGAAAATACAAAATAAAACAAAGAACAAATACGAAAAAAATTGTTTTTTTTTTTTTGTGGTCAACTAAGCGAACTTTTGTTAGACCCCTCGTATGTATATTTAAACATTTAAGGCTCATGCATATGCGAGCGGTTTTTTGCATTCTGTTGCCGCGCCGCTGACCTTTAAAGTTTTAAAGATCAAAAATTGTTGGCAATTGCGCATATCGGAGTTTTATTGTTCTCGTTTGCGAACACAACGACAAAAAGAACACATAAAAAACAAAAGTGGCAACGATTTCTGAAAATTGTCATTATTTGCATACATATTTTCATATGTGTGTTAAGGAGAAACAAAACCTATGGAATTGTAATGCATCCGCGAGCGGCATACATGAATTTGTAAATATGTACATACTTACATATATATATATATATATATATATATATATATATGCTTTGGCAGCGGTAGCAGCAATTGCTCTCGCTGGTGACTGACATTTCATTGCCAACATATAGTTTTTGTATTATTTTTTTTACTTCGATTTGTGGCTTAGTTGATCGATTATTTCGTTTACCTTGCTTTGCTGAATTTCTTTTTTCTTATTTATAACAAGTATATACATACAACAAAAATAAGTTTTCAAATGGCTAGGTACTTTTATACATATGTACCAGGGTTGTTGCGAATATTCGCATTCGCATTCGCAAGTGCGGAGCTTCCGCATTAATTTTAACATTCGCATTCGCTTTCGCATTCGCAATAATCAATGCGGAGCTTTTGCGAATGCGAATATTTTGCAAGTGGACCGATAAAACGTATATATGGCAAAAAAAATTACATATTGTAGCCAATATTTTTGCCTGTGGTCGTAGGAGTATTTGTGTAACAAAACTGGTCAAATGTCATATTTATCAGCTTTGATAAAAATGTCTTTAAACATATTATTTCTTAAGCTATATAACCGAGCTATCAATGGGCAGCCATAAAAGTTCCCACTTCTATTTGACCTTTGACGAACGTCAAAGAGAACATAGTCCTTTTAATAATATAATTTTTCTGTGCTTTAAATATCTGCTTTGGTTTCTTTCTTTATTATGATTTTTTTGGACCAATCTTAAAAAAAAACTACACAAAAGAACAAAGTGTACACTGTAATTCTTAACAAAATTTTCGTGATTTGCTTTTGATGTTATAGGCGGCATACACGGTGCGTCTGACCCGTCAGTCGGTTTGGACGGCATGACTCTGAATGATTCAACTGTGTGTAGTCGAAGGCGAGTCAACACGTACACAAATGATTCGCGAGTCAGCTGTACCGCGTATGCCACCAATTACATTTATTCGTTTGAATAATTTCAAATGGGGCTCTTTGGGGAATTTATTTTTAGCAAAATTTTAAAACCAGTAGTTTTGTTTACTTGTTGGATAATATTTTTTTCATAGGGATATACATTGGATACATTGGAAACTGTCTCTTTTTTGCTATTTAACGTCAAAGAGTAAAAGAATAAAAAGACGGCAGCGTTGATCTGGATCAACTCGGGAATTAACTGCAGTTGATCCGGATTAAGTCCGAGTAAGCTTTTAAGCTTTTAGCTCCTTCAATAGGGATTTCCAGTAGAAATGATAAACGTCTAACTACAAAGAGAGTCGATGCTCAAATAATTAAAAAGCTATAGGTCTGACCTTTAATTAGATAAGAATTACGAAACTATCTGTTATTCAAATGCTTATAAGAAAACGGGGTGCTTTAAAAAAAAAAATAACAATATTTTGATCCGATTCGGCTGGCAGCCACGACTTTGAAAACAGTATTTTGTTCAAAAATAATAACACAGCTTTACAAAAAAAACGCCGATGCATATTAAACCAAACCTATAAATCCCTATGTTATTCGACACGCTGAATGCGAATCCGAAGTCCGTTAGTCTCCACCACGTCAGGTTGGTGGTCAGTTGAAGGTCAAGTAGGGAAAAAGTGCTCTAAAGTTACAGGTTCTCCAAATTCTGAAGCAACATGAAATATGTATCTGGTTTGGCTTGTAAGCGCTGTTTAAACAACGATCTCGCCATTATGCTAGATTCTAATTGTTTTTTAAAAATACTTGACATCCGCATTCGCAACCGCGGATGTTAGCTGTTAGATATTCGCATTCGCATCCACGGATGTCTAAAATTCCAAACCCGCAACATCCCTGATATGTACATACTTATTGTATAACGAGTTTAAGATCTTAAGTATTGCACAAACTATTTCTATGCATTTTTATTTTTTAGTTCTCTTTTTTCTGAGTGCGCTTTATTATTCAAAGAATTTCTGTTATTTTAAAAATTTTCCACACGATCGACTACACTTCTTTTCCACTACACATGATTTAACTCCGGTCAGCTGTTTATTATTGCCACAACTTTACACTCGCCCGACACTAAAATTCTCAGCTGTCTTGATTCACAACTGCTGCCGCAATGACTTACCGGCAGACTGATTGGTTGTCTGCCGGAATATTGGTCGGTAGCTGGTGCGTTTGTTGTCGCGCGCAAAGTGGTTTAACTTGTTTTTCATTCTTTATTGTTGGTAATTTCTGTTTTGTTTTTTTTTTCTTTTGTAAATACTTCAGTACGCCCATAAAGTTCTTGGGTTTTTAAGGATAGCTTTTTTATTTATTTTGATGGGTTTTATGATTTTATTAATCTTTATACGCTTATGTTGAAGTGAGCTGGTTTTTTACAATTCAGGCCATGTTCACGAGTTGCGGAATGGAATTTCGGTTTACACGGTTGTGCGTTTTTACTCACTATGTTCAATTAAAATTACTAAATTAATTTGCATAAACAATAGAATAAAAGTTTTAATTAACTTTCCGAAGTAAATTGAACATAATCCTAATATGTATATGTACATATATATATGTATATGTTGAGTCCGTCGACACAAGGGCAAGCATGAATGAGTCCTCTAAAATTGCACCAATCTCTGGTTATGCACTAGGTTTGGGAAGTTCTAATGAAAATATTAAGAAAGCCTCAAAGGTTTATTATTTGGAACCACTCACTCGAAATGGCCGTAACCTAAATATTGTCTCTGTGCGGCTGGTTGATGTTCTCGAGAAGACTAAAAGAGTGTCAATTCAGCGATGTAAAGAAAATGTGGAGAAGGCACAAAGGAATAACGACTGGTGTGCATTATTAGATTGGAACACAATAGCTTAGAAAACAACAGCGCCAAACAAGCGGAAGATTTCTCAGGATGAGAATACGAAAAAATCAATGCGCTCATCGGCATTCTTAGCTAATAGAATGTTTAATAATGGGCAATTGAGTATATTTATTTATTAGTATACTTGAGAATTAAATTAAACCAAAATGAAATATACTATACCGGAATGAGAACATTACAATCCCTCAGATCTCATAAATTTGCGAAAAAAGAAACATCAACCCCTTTCATCGGGTCAGACGTCTTCTGTGGCCCGGCTGAACGATCAGGTCCACTGCACTTTTAGCAAGATATAACCTAATTATAGCAGGAGTTTTGACAAGAAACTCAACGCCAAACAATACACCTTAAGGGCGCAGGGATTTATCCCCTACAATAATAATACTAATGCATCGTCTGTGCCCCAATTCGGTACCTTATAGCTAATGGTATAATAGCCATACCTAAACTACAGAGTGGGCCTCGTCTATGGGTCGAAAGTAATAAACCTGAGATATTCTATACATATAAATACAGTAGCGCTCACCTAAATAGCGCACTTTTATTTTTTACAATATCCACAGTGTTTTGCGTGGTAAAATTTTTTTCGCAATTTTTTTTAATAAAAATATAGTGAGTCCTATAACATAAACCATATAGGTCAAAGTTTAAGACTTTGTGTACAGTTCACGAAAATTTTACAAATTTAAAAAAAAAAATGTCATAAAAATGTTTAACTTTTTTTTTGCAGAATCTTTAAAAACTTTTTGGGTATGCAGTTTTGCAGCTGTTCCAATTTTAGTATAATAATGTACGGGTTTGGATTAAAATACAGGATATTTTTTGTAGGGGGTTGCCACTTTTTCATAAACATAAAATCAGTTTAATTACTAACTATTAACTATTTAAATCACATATTTTAGTATGGGTACCAAATTCGGTTGAAGGCAAATTTATCTCTAAATATGTATTTTTAAAGAGGGTTGCCACCTGTTAATAAATTCACATAAAATTTACTTAAAGGCTTAAAGGAAGTATTTTAAAATGGATATCAAACGAGAGGGTTAAGAAATCTTTCGTTCGAAAATATTTTTAAAGAGAGTTGCCACCCGTTTAGAAATTTAAAATCATTTTAATCAAACCTACTAATATTATAAAAGTGAAAGTTTGACCGTTAGTGAGTGTATATGTTTGTTGCTCTTTCATGCCAACACGGCTGGACGTATCTCAATGAAATCTGGCGCACTTATAAGCTATGACCAGGACTAGCATACATGATATTTTTATGAAATGGGTTGCCACTTTTTCAAACGGTTATATCAACTATTTGTTAAGTTGGGTGTCAAACAAAAGGTTCAAACATGTTTTTGAAGAGAGCTGCCACCTTTTCATAAACATGAAATAAATTTAGTTAACAATTTAAATCAAATATTTTAGTATTGGTATTAAATGAGTAAGGTTTATGACATATTTATTTTTAAATATTTTTGAAGAGTGTTGCGACCATGGCAAAGGATTCGGAATTCAGAATTCGGTTCAAAAATGCCCTATCTCAAACCAATACAATACATTGTAAATGTGTAGAAATATAGCGTTTTTGAACCCAATTCTGAGATAGGCATTTTTCAATCAAATTCTGAAATAGGGCGTTGTTGAAAAATTTCTTCAGTTAGGGCCTTTTCGAACTGGCTGCCGAGAT